ACGCAGGTCACAAGCACGCACACACAGACAGACTTAGAAAACACAGCAGAATGCGGGAATCTCAGCAAGGCATCCATTTCATCGGCAGAACTTCAGAAATCAGCAGTGTTCTCAGTCTGTGTTTTGACGGGTCATTACACTACCCCCCCCTCAAGAGCGAGGTCCCTTCGAGCGAGTAACTCAACCAGAGTCCTTGCATAGTGCATCATAGGCGTAGATAGATAAGAGAGATCGGGCGTGTTCCGTAGGAGTCAGGGTAGCAGTGAATTTTGGTTGCTGTTCAGCACTTATCAACCGTTCATAGGCATTCACGACAAGCAGTGCACTCTGCAGTAAGTCTTTCCTAGCAATCCAATAGAAATCGTCCAACGGATGGTACAGAAAATGGACTTTGTACTGTCTGTTTCTTCCCTTCCCACTGTGTTCGACAATCCTATCAACCTCATGTCCGCCATTGATTGCGCGGGGAACCATTGACTCTCGGTATTTGAAAGTCTCAGGTGATTCGTACGGAAACAACTTTGACGCATGAAAGACTGGGTATGTGCGCAAGTGTGCAGGCACATCAATCGTGTAAGAAGGACCGAAGGAATCACTCCCTACCTGGTTCAAGACCTGCCATGGACCGTAGTACTGAGGAAGAAGTTTTCGTGATACACCTTCTTCTTCAGAAAACTCAGACATTTTGACCCAAACATAACTTCCCACTGTGAAAGGCGCATGCTGGCGCTTCTTGTTTGCATGTTTGATCATGGCACTGCGTCGCCTTTCCATAGCTGCGACAGCAACCTTGAGCAACCGATCGTACTTAGCGCTGTAGCCTGGCTGGCCAGATGTCAGACCAGGAGGCTGTTCGAGAACAGGTAGGATAGAGGATTGCGAATTTTCCATCCAAGATGCAGTCGGTTAGGCGTCATCCCGGTAGAAGAGTGTATGAAGTTGTTATACAACCCTTGCACGATCGGCAATTCCTCATCCCAAGAGTTCTGATCAGACACAATTAAGGCTCGGAGAAGTTGGATCACCGTCTGGTTGATCTCCTCAACCAGTCCATTGGCTTCGGGATGTCGACCAGATGTCATCTTGAGTTTCATGTCATAGACCAGGGAGGTGAAGTCCTTCCATTCTGCGCTTATGAACCTAGTGTCCCGTTCACTCACAAGAGTTTTCGGGGGCCCACACTGCATATGTATCTTTTGTGAAATTCTTTGATAACAAGGTCAGTTGGGGCGTGAGGTGGTAGTGGCATCAAATTCAAAAACTTTGAAAAACGATCGACAATCACCATAACTTGGGAATAACTTTTTCTGCTCTTCTTCCCCATGTCCGTGAAGTCAATAGAAACAGACTCCCTCGGACCGTCAGGAATAGGAAGAGGGTGCAACAGCCCATAAGGCTTCTGCCGAGACGGTTTAATGCGTTGACAAACTTCACACTCAACCACAAACCTTTGCGCCATCCTTTTCATACCAGGCCACACAAACTTTTCCAACAGATTCTCGTATGTCTTCTCAACACCGAAATGTCCACTCCGGCCATGAGCCAAATCCAAGAAGTGAGTGATGATTGGCTCATGGTTGGGTACACACAACCGGTCATGCTTACCGTAGCGTCGGAAGAGAAGGCCCTTACATTCATGGAAATCAGGCTGACTACTAGGGTCAGCCCGAATCTGCTCAAGGATGGGACTGAGTTCCGGATGCTTGGCAGTGTGCTCAATGAGTTCTTTCTGTAAGTTCTTGCGAAGATCGTAGGAACCCACTAGGCAAGTCATGTACTCAGGGTGGCGAGACAAAGCATCCGCAACACGATTATAGCAACCTTTCTTGTGTTTGAGTTCAAAATCACACACATCAATCTCATGCAGCCAGCGGGTCAGCGTAGTTGATGGGTTTATCTGTGTCTGAATCCACTTCAAAGTCTCATGATCCGAGAACACTTTGAAATGGCGACCCAAGAGGTAGTGTTTTCAATGGTCTAGTGCCTCTCTCAAGGCATAGAGCTCTCTCATGTAAGTGGAGGCAGCTACCTTGTGGCTGGGCATGCGTTTGCTGTAGTATTCCAACGGACGTAAACCATCACCATCATCTTGCTGCAGCACTGCACCAATTCCATACAAACTTGCATCCGTAGTTACTACGAATGTAAGCTTGGGATCTGCAATGCGGAGCACCGGATGACTCACCAAAGCCTCCTTTAATGCTTCGAAGGCTGTCGTGCACTCCTCATCCCATGTGTATGACACATTCTTGCTGGTTAGTCTAGATAATGGACGGGCAATGATAGAAAATTTAGGCACAAACTTACGGTAGTACGACGCAAGACCAAGAAAAGAACGCAACTCGCGGACATTCGCAGGTTGGGGCCACTTTTGGATGACCTCAACCTTGGTTGCCTCGGGCTCTAGGCCTGCGGCAGACAACCGATGTCCAAGGTAGATGACGCTGTCCCTCCCAAACTCAGATTTCTCCAAGTTGAGATGGAGTTGCGCGTCCTTGAGGATCTGCATCACTTCCTCAAGGTGTCTCATGTGCTCCTCCATTGATTTGCTGAAGATAAGAATGTCATCCAGATATACAACAACAAATCGGTTGATCTGATTGCGAAACACTTTGTCCATGAGACTTTGGAAGGTGGCTGGTGCATTGGTGAGACCGAAGAGCATAACTGTAAACTCGTACAACCCATCGCGAGTTTTGAATGCAGTTTTGTGCTGGTCGGCAGGTTCGACTTCAATCTGGTGATAACCAGATTTGAGGTCGATCTTGTTGAAGACCTTGCACCCACCTGCAGCGTCAAGCAAGGCATCAATACGTGGCAAAGGGTATGCATTCCTCCTTGTGATTCTATTCAATCCGCGGTAGTCAATACACATCCGCAGTTAGCCTCCTTTCTTAGGGACAAACAACACTGGTGCACCAAATTCAGACTCACTGGGTTTGATCCATCCCTTCCCAATCATCTCATCAATCTGTCGTCGCAACTCCTCCAATTCGCCTGAACCCATTCGATAGACACAACCTTTTGGAGGGGTGCTACCTTCAATGAACTCGATTTTGTGTCGGACCGGTCGCACGGGAACTCCATGCGGTTCGACCAAGACCTCAGGGAACCGGTTGAGAAGGTTGCGGATTTCCGGTGGGATTTCCGAAGGGGGATCATCACTCTCTGGAGCCAGCATACCAGATTGCATAGGTGCAACCAAAACAACAGACTTTGTAGCAGAGTCATTGGGACTAGAAGTAGAGTTGGTAGAAGTAGTAGTTGTTTCAGATGTAAAAACAGCATGCAAGGTCGAATCATTATTTACAGCAAAAATAGAAGGCACATGAGCAGGCCTAACAAAGGCTATATACATTTGCTCATTAGTTTTGCGTCTGCGCCACTTTTTGCAGAATTGCATTGCATTGAGAAAGGTCACTTGGGACTCGTGCGGTTCATCCAAGAGGACTGGACGCTCGATTCCCATGGCATCTTTGACCATGAATTGTGAGTCCTTCCACGTGGTTCCTTCACATTGGGCCTGCAACCAGCCCAAGCCAATAACCGCGTTGAAGGGGCACTGATCAAGGACATAGAAGTTCAATTCATGCGTGATTGTGCGGTCAGCGTCAAAGGCAGTGCCCACAACTTTGACTGCATGCGTAGATGTGACAACCTCTTGGTTGCCTACTTGGGTCCGACAAGGATTCTGCAAATTCACTTGCTTCATCCCCAAGCGTGCCTTACGAATGTCGTGCGGTGAGAAGTAGTTGGCAGTTGCGCCATAATCAGCCAACGCATGGATGTAACGACCATTAATGTAGAGTTTGAAGAACATCAGCTTCGTTCTCCCTTGCGCGCGTTCTTGCTTCATATGAGCCCAGCGCGTCGACAGAGCGTGGAAGTCAATCTCTTCCGACTCTACCCAAGGCTCCTTGTACAGGATGTGGATCTTCTCAGCCTTGGAATCAGCATCAGATGGGGTTTCAGGAGAGGTTTGCTAATCAGAATCCAAAGAAGGGTCTGTACTTACATGTTCAGCCTCTCCATCTGTAGAGTGTGCAGATGATGCCTCTACCCCCGTTGCTGGTTTCCCTGCTGCAGTCTGAAACATTGTTGGACTGAATGTCCCGGTTTGGTGCAATGCAGACAAACTCTTTTCTTCACCCTGTGTTTCCACTCACTTTCACTGATCCGGAGATCTACCCATGGTTTTGTGGCAGGACCTTCCGGTTTGGGTGAAATCTTTGCTCCATTGGGAAGAAGGATAGTGTTAGTGTTGTTCTTCATCGTGGTCCTCGGTCCCTTACTTTTAAAGATAGTCTTTTTAAAGGCATTCATAGATTCTTCGTCATTTACGTACTCAGACTCATGGGCGGACAAAGAGCAAGAAACCCCGCAGTCTTGCTCTTGATCGTCATCAAGAGAAGATTCATCCACGAGGGTCTCCTCGTCAGCCTCAAGCAGATCATGTGCTGCAAAACGGTTGCTGCCTGGAAACCGTTTGCGGCTGGTGGCCTTTTTGCCRCTYGATCCACCCGRGAGGTCTTGTGCCTCCAGCTTGACTAAGTCTCGCATGAGGGTAAGCCAATCTGTATATCCGCTGAGCCCGAGCCCTAGGCGATCTTTTAGAGTAGAGGGGACCGTACCTTTTATCACATCCAGACAGGACTGCGTAGTCATCTCCAAACCCGGAGTAGCAAAGAGCTTACTAACATACTGTTGCAGGCTGTGCATGATGCCGGTCCACTTGTTGTGCTTGAGCTTGTCAAGCTTGAGTCTTGCTTTAGCTGCAGCATGTGGATCAGCATATTGTTTGATCAAGAGATCCTCAAGTGCGGTAGTAGGCGTAGCCTTCGGCCATTTGTTCAGGTCTATTCTCTTGTAGCCTGATTGGACAGTTTGGGTTTCCAGAAAACCCCGCACGACGGGCTCCATATTGGTCCCCAGGATAGACGACTGAGTGGACGGGGGTGTCCCCAATACATCAAAGTAGGACCGCATAGAGCTAATCCAAGACTCGACGTTGTCCTTTCCGTCATACTTGGGCGGAATCTGCGCCGCCTTCCTGTCGATGTAAGCAAAGCTGCCGCCTGGTCCAACCATTGTTGGGTCCGGACTCAGGACTGCAACAGTTCCAGAAGTCCCTGCACCACCACTTGCCGCTGCAGTAGCAGCGGGGTCTAGACTTGCTGCAGATCCGCTTTGGCTGTTAACCACACTCAAAGAAGACGAAGAAGTAGAAGGAGAAGAAGTAGACATAGTCAAAGGGGCAAAACTGGACTGACAAGCAGCATTAGAAGCAGGGTAGGTGAGTGGAGAGACGATTTGAGCCTGCTGCGAATTGGAAAACTGTTGCAGCTGATCGCGGTGCTGCTGCGCCATCTTGGCCATGTCTTCGCGCAACTCCTTGAGTTGCTTAAACACCTGTGCGAATTGGTCAGTATGGTCCTCAGCAACCCGGACCCCTGCTAAGGCTCTGAGGAGGGGAACCGTTTTCTCTTCCACCTCCTCATCAGTCAGAGCGGACACGGTGCTAAGGACGGCCTCGTGAGCCTGCACCTTATCCCTTCTCTCTCTCTCTTTCTTTTCCTCCTCCCTCTTCAAGGCTTTCTCATAGAAGAACTGATACAGCGGTTTTTCTGCCTCAGGGGCAGCGTCCATCTGCAGTTTCCAATCTGTTGCAGATGCCATGATGGAGGATGAGGGTGTCAGTAAGACTCTCAAGAGGGGTCCGTACTTCCTCTCAGCTTTGTGACGAACACTCCTTTTCCCTCTCTTCACTCCCTCAAGAGCAACACTTAATAACTTCTCTCTTCTCTCTCGTTTGCGACCGTGTAGACGCATGCATTAATGAACCCAATGAAAGAAACAGCTTGAACTCAGTCAGAAGAGAAGGTAGAACTCCTAGCCAGAGCGACGATTCATTTGGACTGGAAAGCAGTCATCAAAACAACAAAAAAAGAAGATAAGAGAGATCTGATCCAGCCACACAGTCTGGACTGACTACGTATGGGGTCCTCCCAAGCCTAGTCAGCCTCAACTCCGTGAAAACACAGCAAACCAGATTCAAGATGTACAGCGAAATGCAAGAGAGAATTGAGTGGTGTATAAGGTGCGAGTCAGGCGGCGGACTGTGCGGTAAAGTCTGATAAAACGTCCCAGCGGAGATCCCCTCCGCAGCGAGTGTTCTGGTCCGAAAGCATAAAGTCCGTATTCCAATCAGATAGAGCAAGGTAATTGACGTCAACAGATTTGGCCTGAGGGGCCCTTCTTGTTTGGGCCCAGTCCCACTGAGTCCCAAATGGTCCCAGTGGAGTCAGAACCGGGTCCCAACCAACAAGAGTTTCACAGAGATCTACTCTGTCCCTACTGAATTGAAAAACAAAATTTTGCCCCAGAAAGAACCTGTAGACTACAGCCGTTCAGAATGAAACAAACAAAGCACTGTAGAGAGATATCACATCACAAACAAGATACTCCATTCATTCACTCGTCGGGTAGTAGGCAGTTCACACACCTCACACACAATCAAGACTATGGAGGATGGAAGAAGATCCCAAAGAACCCCAACAGGCAGTCAATTCCATGCACACACACATGGGCACCCTGGTGGCACGACACTTACCTGAGCGGCCGGGCTCTTGAGATGAAAAGAACACACCCCCCTCTCAATTCCTCTACACTAGTGTCCTATCATCTAGGAGGGTCAACATCTACCCCAAAGTACAAAGCCGGATCCCCCGTCAATGTTGAAAATCAAAGCAGTAACTTGCAGTCCGTAGGTGCAGATATGGCTGCCACCCTCAAGCTCGCCTACTTGAGGGAGCCCTAAAGTCACTCCTCGTCTTCCTTGAAGTCCAGATTCAAGTTGTAGGTGCCCTTCACTGTTGCCTCTCTCAAATTGCATCATGAAGTCCCACCTTGTGTCTCGCCACCACAAACATGCACTCAAGCAACCTGGCCGGGTCTAGTGTCGACCCTACACGGCCCTGCCAGGTGGGAGCAGCTTCCCTTTACCACGCTGCCCCACTTAACCCTAACTTCCAGCCCTAAGCCTAAGTGGTAGCCCTTACCACTAGGGTTAGGGTTATGGCAGCAAAGTCAACTCTCGCCAACAAGTAGAATCCGCTCCTATACCAATGTTACGATCCTGGCCAATTTTGAAGTCCACAATCATCAGAAAGTACAATGTTGTCCAATTGCGAAAAGAAATGAATGAACTTGAGCCCAATCCCGTCCAATTGCAAAAGAAATGAAAGAACTTGAGCCCAATGCCGTCCAATTGTAAAAGAAATGAAAGAACTTGAGAGGAGAGAGAGGGAAAGAAGAAGAAGAAGAATTAAGAAAGAAGAAAGAGATGATGTACTCCAGCATAGACCAAAGACAAAGCTCTTCTTCTTCGCTCMACRACCTCCTCCTCTTTATCTCCTCCTCTCTTATTCAAACAATAAATAAACAATAATAATGTTGAACAGCTGAACCAGAATCAATGTCCGAATCCCACTTCTACTGCAGGCACAAGATGAGGTCCACCATAGCCATGGCAGCTCTTCTTCTTCCTCCACATACAGGCCGAGGCTATGGTGGACTACGGAGGCTTCAGCCTCCGGTACAAAAGACAACCCAAAGCAGCTATACCGCTGCCCTACTTCAAGGTCATCACCCAGCAGCTATGCCGCTGCCCACTCAACCGCCATGCCTGACTCTGTCCGAGCTTCCTTGATGCGGCACTACCCCCACTGGGGCCTTCCTGATGCAGCGCCTAGCAAGGAGATGAAGATGGTGTCTGCCATAGCCAGTAAGTACCTCGCCACTCTCCTCCTTGGTCCCCTTCTCCCTCCTCCTCCTACCGGTAGAGCTCCACCATAGCCAAGGTGGAAGCTCCCGGCTTCTTCCTCCCAGCAGCGCTGTAGTGCCCAGCACTACTCCAGCCAGCGCTCCAGCAGCGTGACGCCCAACTCGCACACTGAAGAA